ACATGGAACTTTTGACGTCTAATGTATATGTAATGGAGTTTTTGTTCTGTGTGGGTAATACATAATATATATACAAAATTTATGTAGCTGCGGCAAAAAGCAAAATAAGTTTCTAAAATTAATTGTCCTAATAAAAAGCTTTTAACCTACTAATAACATCTCATAAAAGACAGAAAATTATGAAACATAAATATAATATAATCATAAAATTATATATAATCATGATATTAAAAAAAATTAAAATGTAAAACATTATTGCATACAATATATCTATCATTTTATAAACTATATAAATTATTTTCTTATTTAATTAGCATTTAATATAATATCAAGAATAATATTGTATGTAATAACTCTTACCTTTGTAAGTTACTTTTGTAAACCATCTTTTTTCTCTTTTTAAAAATTTTATTTTTTTCTCTTTTTATAACTTACATTTAATCTGTCTTTTAATATAAAATTCAATTTGATAAAAAAATTTAAAAAACAATATTAGAATATGTACAATACATTGATGAAATATATCTAAATCACAAGCCGACAATAGCAAGAGATAGATATTAAGAAAATTGATGATAAACATGCAGATATAATATACTGAANAGTAGAAGCAAATGGAAACCAGCAGAAAAGCAAAAGATTAAACAACAAAATAGCAAGTATAGAATGGCATTCAATAACAAATATTNGCAAATGTTTGAAAAGAATGTAGAAATAAGACAAGAGAAAGTAAAAAAAGCAAACTATTATAAAAATACGATGAAAAAAAGAAGAGTATTATATTTTCCAACTTCTATAAAAATAAAAGCTCAAAAAGTTAAAAAAAAATAGATCTTACATTCTTTCACTATGTATAATAGCAGCGACCACATATTGCAACGTTTCCAAATGATTTTCTCCATCTTTGTCTTTCGATGTACAAAAAGGCATTCTATAACATTTCGCATTAACTTCGTCCAAATGAATATAAAAGAGTTNGTTGCTTAACGTTGTACATTTATATACTCCAAAAGTTGAAGATTCCATACCAATATTGTAAAAATCCTCAATCTCTAAAAATTTTTTTACACCTAAAAGATAGGAATTATTGTTCATAACAATGTTAAAGACAATACAAATAGATCCGTCACGCAAAATGCAGCAATTATCGCGTTCATCTATACTTAGCGATATTTTGTTAAATTGAATCTTACGATACTGAGGACGATTACTGCTATCACTATTATGTGACATAGACGCGCGAATAGAGGAATCAATTTCATGATTATCGTTTATATCATTAATCTGTTTCTCTGCCATTCTATTAAAAAACTGTTGAAGAGGTTGATTCGGTTTTCTACAATATTTCCTAAAAATTGCCATATTATTTTCATAACAAAAAGCAGAAAATGAATCCAAACTACCAAAACGTTTGACATCGTCAATGAGATGAAGGAGTCCGTGA